CTTGGAAAGGAGAAACCGATGGCTAAACGTCGAGCACGGGCGTTTGACTAATTCAAGTAAATCAAACATAACGATTGCGCCAACGTCACAGCTGACTCGGACCAACTACTCCGACGATTAATAAATCTTTCTGGTTCTGGAGCATATTGGCTATCGAACAGACCGTCGCCATTGTAGCAAATATTATTCCAATTTGAGCTAATTACCACCCAATGGCATCGCTTCGTAGTCGTAGCTCATGGCTAAAACGCCCCCATACGACAGCCTTTCAGTGTCCACTGCGGGTTAAAGGTCGCTTCGCCGACATGTACATGCAAGAAAGCATCCTTTCTCCGAGACAAATAAATGCCTATTTCGACCTCAACGGAGATGAATCGAGCTCGGCCACATCGAGTATGATTGTGGCTGTCATCATAGTAGCTTCTAAGAGTGGTATCTCAACTACATCTAGCGTGGCGCCTATCTGAGTACACCATGTTTATCATAACAACGTGACTAGTACTATCAGTTCAGATGAGCAGCGGACCAACCGAGCCATTGAATGCGAAGTCAAAGTCCGATTTACTCAGACATCGACTTGTACGACATATCGTTGCTTTTTCATTCTGTTGTTTCTAACTGAAGCAAACGTAGGAGAATCTCTATCGACTTAGGACAGTTCGTTTATTAAGGACTTGAATCTGTCAATTCTTGAATGAGATGAGATCTCTCTTTCTCGGCTTACAAACTGGAGCTGTACTTTTACTCTGTACGCTTTGGTGTCTCTTTCTCCGATAAACCTTCTGTCCCTAAGGAATTGTTTCTGCTAAATTAGTCTATGAGTTAGATTAAGACTATTACTAACCCAGTCGGCGCACAATAGCTCTTTAGCGATCACCTACTCTATTACTATGCTCGCCCTCAATGGGGGAGAGTTTCCGATAGTGGCATAAACATCATAGCTACCCACCCAAGAGCGACACATTCGATCTGCAGCCTTTTGCCCACGCACATCCTAGGGTCCGCAAACAGTGTTCAGTGAAACAAAAATATGCTCCAGGTGTGGATAAAAAACTTAGCTAATAATTGGCGTCCCTACCGAATGTAAAGTTAGACGATTCCAGCACCCTTAGTGAGCTGTAAGACCACAAAGCGATGCTTATCGCTAGAGGCATGTTTCACAACGCAGACCCTCAGCCGGATGACTCGCCGTGTTCAGAGCGTTTTTGCACTTACACCGTACAATAGGCGATAATCCCAATAATTTTGATACCAGGTCATTAGTTAACATATAACGTGAATTTTAAAGCCAACATCAGATTCGAGTACTCATCTATATACACCGCGGGCGTTTTCTTTCATAACAGGGTCCCATAAAATTAACTCGGCGAGTAATTCACGGAATTGAAGACTTTGCCGATCATCAATTTCGGGTAATTTACACTAGCTTCTCGCATCCCATCCGAGCGGTTTATGGAAATCAATATACGAAAGTACAACAAAGTCGCTTTTACAACAACGCAATTTATCGTAATTAGCATACATTGCGAGCGGTAACAGGATTTCCTCAGATCCCCAACCAGTACTTACAAATGTAAGCTGGTAAAATATGCATAATTATGTATGATCTCCCAGAGGCACGCACGAGAAGCTCTACTACTCTATGAGTATAGAGATCGGCAACTATTGCGCTCTTCACTCGACCTCCGCATAAACTAGCAAACCTGTCGTGTTGGACGGAAAGTGCCAAATTGAAAAAGAGCCACTTTGCTCTTGCTGGCAATCATCCATGTGCGTGCCATCGTCTGACAACTCCCAGCAATGCAGCATTTAATTGGCAACGCGTCGTTCGTATACCGCAAAAATGTTCTTACCAATCGTTTGGTCGAAGCAAAGCCCTAAACGACTCCAGGTAACAACAGATAGCTTCTTTGTTATCATTCGATCAATTAGCACTGTACGATGTGTACTCGATCCGACGAAGATTGCCTGTGGAGGTTGGAAGGATTCCAAACCATTTCCGAACTTGCCTCACTACTAATCGTAAGTTTCTTTCATCCCAAGAAAGAGAGCGACTTCCAAAACTGACTGCTTTGTGATCGTTAGACAGACCACGCCGATATCTCGGCATTGATTTCGATCCCAGTCTCTCTTGTGCTTTGTTTGTTGTTTAATTCATATCGAGGTTGTTGCATGCTGTCAAGGGAACAATCCATACTATGTCCAATCTGGCGAGCTGCTTCTCCCATCTGTAATTTCAACTCTCACCATTGAAGCGCGGAGCTCACCGCTCACACCCTAGATTTTATTTAATTTGTTTTTGAGTCGACATAAGTTTCTACAAGAGCAATTCATAGATATCGTTTTTTCCTCAAGTCATTCAGATAGGCCCATTCCAATCAAGCGGGCCTTCCAGTCCATTTCGCTTCAATTTTGAGAGCCCTCGATCCTCCTTCAGCTTGCATGCCTCATGTACGCTCCACTACTACAGATCGGACCAACAGCGAGCATTGTCCCAACTTTGGAGAAGAAACCTCTTTCATCGATAACCCCCTCTTATGCTTGCTCTTCAAAGACTCGCTCGCAACTCGACTCTGTACTCACTCTTATCTTCTTTTTTTCTACATACTCCGACCTCACTCACTCTTCTACCGCTTCAACATCAGACCAACTTTTCGACGCCCTCTCTCGCGCCACTCTCCCCAACCCGCCCTCTGCTGCTCTGAAAATCTCCTCCTTCCTTCTATCTTTCGTTCTTCACCCCCGTACACCCTGTTCCCTCTTCATCTATGTTTTTGTCTCTCTTTTCTTCTTGTTCTTTCTTTTGTCTTTGATCGTAATGTTCCTCTTCTCTCCAACCCGGCATGTCACAGCACTCCTTCCCCCAATCTGCACTCTGCTTCCTGATCCCCCACTCACCCCTTCGTACTACTCCACGCACTCCTCACCCTTCCCACCTCCCCCGCACTCCCCCCTGCTCTAGTTCATTTATTCTTTTACTTACTCTTTCTTTATACTTTTTTTTCCTCTCTTTCTCTTTACTTCATCCCCCGACTCTGCGCCCCTTGCTCTTTTTCTCCTCGTTCTTTGTGTTCCCTCTCTGCGCCCCTCCTCTGTCAATTTTTCTTTTTTTTTTTATTTTTTTTTTTTGTCTTTCCTTCGTTTTTTCTACTCTATTTTCTCTCCCCTTCCCCCCACTTTTTCCCCTTATAAGTTCTTTATCCACTCTCATGCTGCACCTGCCACTCTCAAGCTGGGCTGGGGGCTCTGGGCAGCCTCACTCTGTGGGCCCCTGGTGCACTCCACTGTCACACTGTGCTGTCACTCTGTTGCACTCTGGGTGCTGGGGAATAACGCCACTCTGGCTGGTCTGGGGGCTGCTGGGTGGCACCATCTTGGCGCCACTCGGGCCTGTGGGAAGACCTGGGGGCACTGACCTGGGGTCCTGGGACTCTGGGGAGAAACCCAAACTCGGCTCTGCCTCTGGCAATCGCGGGTCTGACGCTTCCACTTGAGTAGAACCACGGGCCCTGACTGAGGACGTCTTGGGCTGGTGTCTGTGCCCCGCGTGCGACTCTGTCTGGGGCACTGTCTCTGACTGCTCTCTCTGCTCTCATCTCTTCCATCTTCCTCCTGCTCTCTGCAAATACTAAAACTCCTTCTGCACCACTGACTCTGCTACTGCTTGCAACCTCCACTCCCCTACTACTACTCGACTCTAGCTTCTCTGACCCAACACCATCTTGTGCCCTGCTAAACTCCCACTCTACTCTAAGCCCCCTGCTCGACCCTGCTCTTCACTTCTCAACCCACTACGCTTCTCCCTGAAACCACCTGATATCTTGGCTGCTCCACACACTCTGCGGGCACTTCCTCAACACCGCTACTCTTTACTCGCACTCTCTGCGCGCTCCTGCTCTGCCCATCTTGCTGGCTCTGCTCTACACTTCTCTCTAACAGCCCCACCCTAGGACTCTGACTCTCGCAGATCTTCGGGCACAGAAACCACTCCACAACTGCTTCTGCTATACTCTGAAACTCAGAAGATCGGCCGCTACTCCTGCCTGTCTCGACCTTCTCCTACTGCTCACTCTCACTCTCACACACTCTCGCTGGCACTCTACCCCTCCCTCATCTACTCTGTCACTTATCTGCTCCTCTTCCCTTCTTTCTCGTACTCCCTCTCTCTCTTCTGGCTCCTGCTGCCTCCCCACCCTCTCCCACTCCCTCCTGCTACACTAACTCTGACGTCCACTCGTCACTCACTCTGCGGTACAACGCTCTGCCACTCTCACTGCCGTCTGACTCTCTGTCTCTGCTCTAAAACGCCACTCTGCACCTGCCTTCTTCGCCTAACTCTGACCCCCTTCCCTGTCTGAGCCTCTCTCTGCCACTCTGGACACTCTGCCTCTCTCTACCACTCTCGTTCTATACTGCTACAGTTCTCCTCCTGACTGCTGTGGTCCACCTGACTCTCTCCCCCTCTGGCCCAACACTCTCCGACTCTGGACCACCTAAACTCCTCCTCCTGTGCTCTCAACTGGGTGTCACCTCTGGCCCTCGCTCAAAACTGCACGCTGCCCTGCTCACACTCTGCCTACACTCTCCTGCTCTGTAGACTCATGCTTCACCTTCCCGTCTGTCGCTCCTACCTCGCTCTGCTTTCCTGCTACTGGCAAACACACCTCTCTTCTCTTACCTCACCTCACTCGCCACTGCTGTTCTACTCTGCTTCTGGATCTACTCTCCTCTCTGAAAGCAGTCCCACCTCTCCTCCTGGCCACTCTCTCTCTGTCCCTCTGAGAACGCTCACTCTTGTGAACACCCGCCTGCCTTCCTGTACTCACTACACCACTCTGACTGACACCGCATCCCTACACTCTATCGTCCTGACACTACTTCTCTTCTCTCATCGCTGTGCACTGGACTTCCTGCTCGCCACCCCGCCACTCTCCCCCCTCCGCCATCTCCTTCTCTGAATCTAACTCTCTCATGACCGAAATCACTCTCCTACCCACTCTGCCCTCCCACACTCCCACCTCCACTCTGTTCGCCGTCTCACTCCTCTAATCGTCCGACCCTCAATCTGCATCTACTCTGCTAGGCTCACTCAGCTGGCTTCTAAATCCCTTGAATCCCGCTGCTTCACCCCTACTACCACTCTCACCTGGCTTCTTCAGTGCTCTCTCTCTGCCTGCTTGCACTCTGACATCCCTGGCTACTCCTGACTCTCCACTCTAGAACTCTGGGCCTGCCCACCTCTGCCCCCCACTCTGAAGTCTTCTCCACACCTGAGCCCGCCTACTGCCTACACCTCTCTTACACTCCTCCCACCGCCTCCTCTAGCTCTGATGACTCTGCTCCTCTCTGTCTGACACCACTGACTCCTCTCTGGACGTCTTGCCCCCTCCTGACTTCTTGGCTAGTCACACCCATCTGGCTACTCACCTTTCTGCCTCCTGCGGATCTCATCTACCGCCCCACTCTACCCATCTCTCCTACCTCTCTGCCTCTGAACCTGCTCTACAACTCTTCACTCTGCCGCACTCCCCACCTCAACTCTGCTCTGATCTCCACTCTACTACCTACCTCTTCTGACTGCTGAACGCCTCCCAGACAAAACTCTGGCTCTGTCAACTCTCCTTGACACTCTGACCCCTCCGCTCACTCTGGCCGCACCTCCGACCTCAAGAAAGCCAGCTTCTGCTACACTCATCCACTCTCTCACATCTTTCTTCTCTACGCATGTACCCTACGCTTCTGCACCCCACATCTGACTCTGCTGGTCTCACTCCCATGCACCGTGCTGATCCCCCTCTGGCAAGCACCCCTGTCCATCAATCCGTCACTCTGCTCTCTGGCTCTTCTCCCACTGCTAAAACGCTCTCTCACTCTCTGGCTCTGCATCACTCTTCCCTCTACCTCTGGCTAGCGCACTCTCATGATCACTCTGCCGCGCCTCAGGAGGCCCCTCTGCTGCTCTCGTGCTGGCTGCCTAACACACTCTCCGCTCTCTTCTAGCTACTCTCTCTTCATCTCTGACCCCACTCTGCTCCTCCGCTCTGCTGGACCAACACTCTGACCCATCTGACTAGCACTCACTCTCTAGCCCTCTCCTCTCTTCCCTGGCCACTCCCCAGCAGACCACTCTGCTCTCCTCTGCGGCACTCCCTGGACCTCTGCCACCCCCTTTCAGTCGACGCAAGCAGTATTTTCCCAGTGCGCCTATCCGGTGACGATGCAGCTTCGAGCACCGGCCAAGCCGGTGTTGGCATTGCCCTGAGTCCCCGGGCTGAAGCTGCTCTGGTTGATTGGATTCCAATCAGTAGCCGGATGTGTGCGGTCCGATTGGCTGGCTCGTTTAAAGCTTCGAAGTCGCGCGGGACTAATAGATGTCTATTCATCATCGCTGCCTATGCGCCCACAAACTGTAGCGATGATTCGGTAAAGAACGACTTCTACCGCCAACTGACCCAGCTCCTTCGCCACAGAAGAAGCACGGACACTGTTGTGCTGGCGGGGATATGAACGCACAAGTTGGAAAGTTGTCCACTGATGAACTGCATCTGGGCGGTCAACACGGTGTAGGCTCCCGTAATGATAACGGTGATCGGTTACTTCATTTGTGTGAAGATGCTCGCTTATTTCTTGCGAGCACTAATTTCCGACACAGCACCCCCGGAGGGTGACTTGGCGCCCACCAGCCTCGAACCAGCCTTGGACGCAGATCGATCACATTGCGATAAGTTACCGCTGGAGAGGCTGCATCCAGAATTGTCGCTCGATTTGGAGCACATGTGTGGACACCGATCATGCACTTGTATGTGCTGACATGCGGATGCGTTTTGGCGGACGCCCACGACGACGCTGTGAGCGCATTGACACCAGCCAACTGACAAAACCAGCTGTTCTGAATGCGTATCGAAGTACGCTGACATGCGAGTTGAGCAAGCGCTCACTGGAGACAATTGATGGTCACTGGTCACATGTTCGCCAGACCTTACTAGCAGCAGGCAAATCCTCATGTGGTATGTCTAATAGACAACATGGACATTGGGTCTCTTCGCAGTCTCTGGAACTTATAGATGCTCGCCGGCAAATCCCGGCTGGAAGCGAGCACAATGAAACTCGCAAAGAGCTCCGGGCAAAACTCCGTGCTAGCCTGAAGAGAGACCGCGAATCTTGGTGGTCTCATCGTGCGTCAGAGATGGAAGTGGCCGCTGCCCTTGGCAACCATCGTAAGTTATTCCGTCTGATACGGGAAACGGGCAGCAGGAGACCTGGTGTTAGTGAAACAATACGTGACGAGAGTGGACAGCCTATCCACAATTTGTCAAAACGTTTGGAGCGTTGGGCTGAGCATTTTGAAAAGCAATTTAATCGGCAAGAATTGTTCGATTCGCCGGTCACTGATCGCCCTGCTCCGTGGGCTGTCCCTTTGGATCCACCCTCTCGCTCAGAAGTCGAACGTGAGATCGGACTGTTGAAGTTGAACAAAGCCGCGGGACCAGATGATCTTCCTCCAGCCCTCTTCAAATTCGGAGGCTCTGCTCTTGTTGATGCTTTGCATGAATTACTAGTGAAACTGTGGGAGCAGGAAACTGTCCCAACCGACTGGAGCCGCTCCGTTATTGTTCCCATCTTCAAAGGCGGCTCGCGCTCGGAATGCGGCAACCATAGAGGAATCAGTCTGATCTCCATCGCCTCCAAATTACTCGCCTCCATAATTCTTCACAGACTGACTGGCGCTCGTGAAAGCCAGATTCGTGAGGAGCAAGCCGGGTTTCGTCGGGGTCGTGGCTGCATCGACCACATCTTCACCTTGCGTCAGTTGTTGGAGCACCGTCACACATATTGGCGGCCCACCGTAGTCGTGTTCCTCGACATCAAAGGTGCCTTCGATTCGGTTGATCGATGTGCCCTTTGGAATTGTCTACTCAGGAAAGGTGTGCCCGAGAAATATGTAAATATTATCCAAGCATTATATGCGCGTAGCACGGGCAGAGTAAGGGCTTACGCAAGCTGTCGCCACCCTTCAATATCTCCAGCGGTGTGAGACAAGGATGCCCGCTGTCACCTTTCCTCTTCAACTTCGCTATTGACGAAGTCATGGAGATTGCATTTACAGGACATGACTTGGAAGGTGTGGAGCTACTCCCAGGAGAACGACTTCTTGACTTAGAGTATGCAGACGACATTGCCCTCATCTGTGACAGCTCCCAGACGTGCCAAGCCGCGCTGGACAGATTAGCACTGGCTGTCAGTCGCTTCGGGCTTTGCTTTGCACCATCGAAGTGCAAAGCGTTCCTCCAAGATTGGCAGGGATCGCCTCCTGTGCTGACCCTTGGTGTGGACCAGCTAGAAGTCGTTCAGAAATTCAATTACCTGGGAAGTTGTATCAGCGCCCTTGGGATCGAAGACTAGATCACGAACCGTATAGCGAAAGCTCGGTGTGCTTTTGCTAACCTTCGTCACCTATGGCGGCGGCGCGACATCACTCTCGCCCTGAAGGGTAGAGTGTACAATGCACCGGTATGTTCGACCTTGCTGTACGGTTGCGAAACCTGGCGTCTGAGGTCGGCGGACTTGAAGAGGCTAGCTACGTTCGACCATCGGTGCCTTCGCAGTTTGACTCACATCTGGTGGGAACACCGCGTGAGTAACGAGCGTGCTCGACACATTGCTTACGGCCCAGGAAAAGGATGTGAACCGCTCAGCACCGTTATTTCCCTCCACCAGGCTCCGATGGCTCGGCCACGTGTTACGCATGCCAGCCCACCGACTCCCTCGACGTACGTTGTTTGCTCATCGGGATGTGGGTGGATGAAGAAGAGAAGAGGCCAAGCGATTACTTGGTCTAGAGGAATGAAGTCCATCACTTCGGAGCTAGCCCCGGTTGGAGCTTCACGGCTCCCTGGTTGGGGTCCAAAAGACGGTGAACACGTTTGACTGGATACACTTGCTGACATGGCAAGGAGCCGACCTCAGTGGCGTTCGTGCTGTGAGTTTCTTTGTCCCTTCATCCCTTTTAGTCTCCCCCTCCATCTAGGATCTCATTTCCTAGAGTAAAACATTATTTAAAAAAATTTTCTTTTTCCTTAGTAGCTGGCTGGAAGCTTACCGGAACGATGCCTATCCGTTGCTGGTAGCTCAGCTGGCATGCAACTGTTGTATCTATTTTTCCTTTGTGTATTGTATTATATGTATGTATGTATGTATGTCTTTAATGTATTGCGGCACAATAGCGGAGTTGTTTCCAACCTCTAGCTGATGTGTATAATGAATGAATGAATGAACCATTGTTCATCCGGAGGAGCCCGCCCACCATCAGATCCAAAGCTTAGCGCTCGTGCGCTGCGCCGCTCGCGCTGTGAACCTATAAGGCGTAGATCTGTTGTCTCTCCTGGCCAGGTTTTGCGGGAGGAGGGCGATCGACCACTTCCTAACCTCCGAACAGGATGGATTAGGATACTGGCGGGACGTCCTCCCCTGACAGGAGATCGACTCGGGTCCTCAGCCGAAGCCTTCGATTAAACGTACACCCGAAAGGAAGCGGGTCTAGCACATGGCCACTTCACTGACTCATGCGAATTGGTATTCTGGATCTTCGCAGGGAAAAGGGAGTACCCCAACTCCCACCCAGTGGTCGCCACGAGTAGGCGTCCAGGACAGGAGCCAATGGCCCAACTGCAGTAGCAGTGGGTAGACCATCTGTCAGGATCTAGCCACCACCAGCCTCAGCGCATAATTGGCTCCCACGCATTTTGTCTACATACATATATGTTACATAACCGTGCTAATTAATGGCTTCATAAGTATAGTCTGTAAGTAGGTGAACACAGCCCTTTGATCAGGCGGTCGCAGGCTCACTGCGGAATAGCTAGATCCTTCGGCGATGTTGACCTGACCATGCAACTCAACGAAAAATGGGTCTAACATTATTGTCCTATTCGTTGTGTGCTCAAATGTCACCGAATCTACCGTCAGCACAGTGTATGATAATTAGTCGGATAACCAAGGCAATTGGAGCTCATTGTGCGCGCAGATTAGCGTCAAAGTTACAGGTTATTTGTCATCCGCTCTGTACAAAACGGTGCACGCAGATTTATACGAGTAACACACGAATTCTCGAATGATGTAGGGCTATTATTCCAATGGTCACGGGATCAAGGCCTGCTGTCTCCACCTGATGAGATGAAATTACATCGAAACGCGTCGTGGTTGTGCAGTGTTTTCGGGTGGGCAACACCCAATTTCCATCTACTGATGTAGAAAACGCTTTATTCTCTGCAATTACGCCAGCACAACGGACCTGTGGGATACGCATTTATCCAGTTATCCTTTGGAGCCTGCGATAATTAAATAGACACATCTCGGAAGGACACGGAAAAATCTCGTGAACAAAATCTTCATCCATGTTGTGCCAGGGCTAATGATCTTCAAGAGGGCGGAAAGCATAATTTAGAGCAGTGGTAGTTCACTCATGAAATAACTGCCCTAGATAATGTTGTGACGCTATCACTTAGACGGCTACCACACTGATCAAGTTTTATGGTATGAGACCCAATAATCCTTATACTTGTGATTCAACCAGCGCAAACAGGA